ACAAATCTACGCGTTATTCCCATTCAAATTATCGTTTAGATTTACGTCCTTTTAGATTACGATCAACCACGGCGAACGATAAATAATTTTCCATCGGATTCGAAAGTTTGATCTGCAGAGTTACAAGCGAGATTAATTATATCGGGTTAACAACATGACTGTGGGTTAAGAATGTGGAAATAAATTTGGGGTCAATCTTAAAGCGATTCGGAGCCCTCGCCCTGTGCGGTTCAATTGATGCTCTCTATCATAGTAATAGGTTTTGCCGCGCATGCATGTATCGTCCGGGCAGAACGGTCACGATTGTCCTAATGGAGTTTAATTTAGCCAATCTTCATAAACTTTGTCCTTGACTGGCAACCGTTCTTACCGTGTTTGTCTATAACCTGTGGCACATACGAAAATTTTTGTTGGCAACATTATTTTTGTTCACGCGTGTAAATTATTCAGAATTATTTTTCAACTGTATATACAAGTTATATGAGATAATTTTTATTTTCCACAATTTTGTATTCCAAAATCAAAGGCCGGCAGCTAGAGCAACATCAGCTAGCAGCTCTCCATCACTGATATAAAAGTTCTGCGATAATTGATTTTATATTAATTTCTTCTCTAATTAAAAGCTGTCCAAATATCACAATTATTATTTATCAAATATTATATATTATTTGTAAATTTTCGCGCGTAGAAAAATATTCGCGTAAAATCGTCCATCGTTTCGAATCATAACCTCAAAGGTTCCGTTTGTTTCATTTAATTAAACCCTAAGAAAGCATTCGAAATCTCTTTTGCCACTTGAGAAAATTTATCGAGTTGAAGTTATAGAGACAACGTGTACCAGAATCTATCTATCGAAGTATTGACGGTAGGAAGAGGCAGGAGAATATAACTATAAATAGTGGTTTGGGGGAAAAAGTGAAGATTAGCCTGGTACGGAAGAGTGGAAACGAAGAGGAAACATAAAACGCGATTGAAAAAGAGAAAAGGAAAGTGAACGCTGGTAGAGACCAGCCTCGGACCCAGCGACTTATGGACGGACGCGCGAACTCTATTTTTAGTCTTCGGTGGAATGACAGTCCCTCTTCAGCGTATATGAGAAGCTATTGATAGGTCACGGGCTTCGTTGTGAGCAGCCAGCAGACAGACACGTCGCGTGAATCACACGAGACATCGTTTCTTTACCTAAAGTCGTATATCGAGTTTAACGTCTATCGTCTATCCATTTTATCCTCCGGCAATTACACGTGTCTCTTCTTATGCTCAATTGAATTTGCTTGTCAAAAATAATGCTTGCTAATTTAAGCTAAATAACGGATACGGATAATACATTTGTTAAAAGGTTCGACGTTTCCCATGGAAACAGGTTTTTAGTAGCGCGTTAAGAGGTTGGAGGCAATTTTTTTTTTCTTTTTTATAAAACGGTACGGATCAAAAGTGAAGAATGACTCACGCAGAAGACACCGTGCATAAATCAAATACCGACTTCCAGTTCTGATCCGGGCAAAAAACATCCGTCTTGTTTTTATTATTATCTGTAGAATAGCGTCGAAATAATGAATGGCTGTCCGAGGAGATGGCGAGTGGGTGAACCGCGTTAGCTTGTAAATAACAAGATACTTTTTAATCGAGATGATGATCATCCGACTTGATCTTTCTGCGCCTCGCTGAGAGGCTGTTTCCTCGTGACATCGTGCATGAACACTTGCACACATGTACATGTTCATTTGGCCATTTAGTTGCGATGTTAACGGCAGTCGTGTGGTATTTTTGGCCACGACGTCACACAGCTGTATTATTTGCACGATATTTAGAATTTCGAGGAATATCCGGAACTTCCTTAAATAGAAGAGAAAAAGAATAGATAGAATATGCTACGAAGGTTGGCTTCTGTGAAAGCTATAGAGATTTACGCTAACGTTATCGGTAATGCAATTAGATATACCTCGTGATCTTTCCAGCCACTTCATTCCTCACTATCGTCCTTGGAGTTTTTAGGTTGGTGAAAAAGTTTCAGTTACATCCGTATCTCGGACTATCACGGGAATTTATCAGAAGCATTTAAAGCATGCGTCGCTCGGCACCTAAATGTATCTCTGAGCGATAAAAAAAAAAAAAAAAATACACCTACCTGTTTAGCAAGTCCCAGTTAACTGTCACGCGACCTCACAAGGCCCACTGAATCTCGGAATTTACTCCTGGCGCCCCGAGTCTGCTGTAATGCGAAGTTCAACGCCTGCGCGCCTGTCTGATCGCGTTTCGTTTCCTTTCCTTTTCTTTTCTCTTCTCTTTTTTTTTTTTTTTCTTCGTTTTGATACTCGAATCAACATCGAACGTGTACCGTTCCGCGTTTCAGCGAACGTAAAATTCTGAATTTAACTCCTACTCTCGGCCTGGTGTAACTGGAACTTTCTCTCGCCGTTTTACGATCTCTCATTCTTTCCTTTGGCCGGCGTCTCGTCTTGAAAAAGAATGTTCCAAGATTAGTTCCTCAGATCCAGAGATAACTAGGCGCCGCGAATTTGCTCTAAAGTCCGGGTATTTATGGATACCAGTCAACACGTGTTCCTTGGATTGTTGGAAAATCGTGTAGATTTTATGATTTCTGTATCCAGTGCCTGTACATTCTAGTCCTGCCTCTTCTTCTCATCATCATCATTATTATTATTATTATTATTATTATTATTTATCGAAGATTTTACATCATTAATTTATGTCTTAGTATATCAATGTATTATTCTTGTTATTCACCTGACAAGCAACGAACAAATTATTTGCCCATTCGCGTAACATATATTTCTGTTACTTGATTACAATTTTCGTGCATCTTTCATGAAAAATGAACAAGCAAAGAATATTTCTTTCAAGACAAATGTTCGCTATCCCTGGATTAAATCGTGTGTGAATGTGTCGCAAGAAACAGCATAGTCGTATAGAAATCAGAAGACATCTGAAAAGAGAAATACTTCAAGTAGAAACTGGCATGGACTATAATATCAGGGGATATGAGTTTGACACAGTTCAGAGTAGCTGCACGATAGGTGGATGATACTTTTTTTCACGTGGACCATTAGAAAGTGGCCGTGACGTTTAATGATAATTTACATTATCGCGAATATTGTAAATCGTACGCCACGAATAATGGCACCATTGACCGTGATAAACGAGTCTTTTGTGATCAATAACACCTACCAATTACTTGACGATAGATTTATGAACACGGTGCGTACAACTACCGTCGTAACGCAAACTGTGAAGGAGTAATAAACATGTAAGCACGTTTACAGGTTCGAAAACATTCATACAATCAGACTTTCAAACGTCACCGTGAACGTGTCCTCTAGCTGGAGGAGAAACTCGCGGGAATTCGCACAATTTGGACAAGGGAAATAACGTGTTAGCATTCACCGGTATATTTCAATAGTAATTAACCTACTGACGTTATTTCCTATATATAGTTTTTTTTTTTTCCATTTCTGACGTTGTTCAGAGTTTGCCGGTCTTTCAATTGAGGAAACGAAACCTCAATCCCGTTGCAGCGTGATGATTCTGGAACACTTTGTAACGTGTAAAAATATGTATGTTGATTTCAGGTGCAAAAGAAACGGCGAATCGTCGCGAGGGTTCATTGTCGTAACATCAAAAACGAATGTCCGGAACTCACGTGTAAAGAGCCAGTTCTTCTTCCAGGCCGATGCTGCAAATCTTGCCCGGGAGATTTCAGTAAGTAATAGCCTCTCTTTTATAGACACTTGATGTTGAATCTGCCAGCGAATATAGTGCATATTTGTGCTAATTTCTATGTAGATGCGTCGTTGAGAATAATTGCCTCTGTGGTGCATATATACGGTAGCGTGTCCTTAGTTAATGCGACGGTAATCTGTAAGATAAGAAAGTTGCTATAGCATAGTCTCCAGACTTTGTTGTATCGCGTTACCATTTTAAAGAAACGAGTCTGTTTCTGCTCGTCGTTCGCATTAACTTAAATAAACATATTTTAAATAAACATAATTGTCAACAGAGGTGTTATTAATTCTACTTATCAGATTCTACTTGCCGATTACTATAAATGTACCGAAGTTCAAACGAGGTTAGACAAGAATCTATTTCAATAACTATCAGCAGAGTTGAAACGATCGGAGCTTGCAAATTTCACGAAAGGACAAAGGAGGTTTTAATGAGAGTCAAGTGGCTTGCATAAATCACGTATCAATGACAATCCATCGCCTGTTTTGTGTTTATTGGTTGTCTTTATTGACAACCAGGAGTTTTTCTTTCTTTTTCATTCATCCTCGGTTGCTTCTACGAATGTCTGTCTATCAACTCGATCGATTCGATAATCGTATTTGCAATGCTATATAATCATGATCGACCGTCATCGTCTGATACCTTTAGTCTCATTATCGTCTCAATGTTTGAGTACTTTTATTAAAGGATTAATAGATCAATGCGTATGTGTGTGTGTGTTTTTTTTCCCCCCAAGTGCTATAAAAGAAGAGATTTCAACACGTATCATTTATTTCTTTTCAAGCTAGTTTCCTTTTCTTTGACCACGATGTAATCTTTGGTCCCATTGCTTTCAAGTATAAGTCCATGTATTTCTTCTCTCTGCGACGACATAACATATGTATAATGAAGTATACATATGCAACATTGGTTAAAATTTACGCAAAAGTCTTGGAGCAAATGTTATTTCAAAACTGGGAATATTAAATAATATTGTCTATATGACAGAGAATCTAAAATCTATATTTAGAATTGTACGTGTAATTAAAGGAATATTCATTAATATTCTAATTATATAATAATTAAATAATTCATTAATATAATAATATTGTCTATATGACAGAGAATCTAAAATCTATATTTACAATTGTACGTATAATTAAAGGAATATTTAATTACATTAATAATGTAATTAAATAATATTACAAAGGCAAAAATTAAAAAATGTTTGATAAATACTGAATATCAAAAATGAAATGTATCTCAAGATTTTTGAACGAAAATGTAATTTTCATTCATTTCTCTACTATTCGTCATTAATTTTGTCTTACAGAATAGCAAAAGTAACAAACGAATAATTCAAACTAATATTTACTAAGAAATTGCTTCTCTAATCATATCATAAGATCTATGAGTCATACATAGATGACATAAATGTATGTCACTCTCATTGCTCTTTAGTAGTGCTCTTCTTGCATCATGTCCGACTCGCAGATATCAAAATCAGGATAGGAAAATTTGTGTATCATCTGACAGAGAAACGCAAATTGCAAGAATGAAATATTGTTGATTTATAGCTCAAATTCATGTGTCTTGTATCTATTTTCTCATTCGGTAAACTTTACAATGTAAAATATCATGTGTGAATATATATGTATTATGAGCGGAATTTTGATAGATTGACAACTTTCTTTCTTCAATGGATTTTTATATCATCGTTAATTACCACATGTAGATGAATTAACGAAAGGAAAAACGAAACGAACAAAACACAATAATCAGCTGAAAATGAAGATCGAAAATTTAGCAAACTCTTGCAAATGGAATTCTGACTAAGTAGTAAATTTTTTTGCATATATAGTGACTCGTAATACACTATCTGTCTATTGACATTAAATGAATGATAAATTTGTCAACCAAATTATTACTCTTTTAAAGTATTTTGTTAGTCATTAGTAACGATATAAATACATTATCATTAAAGCTTAATCGTAATGTCTTAATATTATTTTCTATCTACACGTGCAAGAAATTTGTGACAACGAACGAGAACAAACGTATAATTAAAAAAAGATCGGAAAAGTTAAATGACGTAAATAATTCAATGAAAAAGCAACGTAAATGACAAAATTATTATCTTCATAAAACATAAACGAAGTTGCTTGAAAAAGATGATTACCACATATCAACCATTTGTAAGATAATTGAGCCGTGCAGAAGAAATCGATGTTGCATCTAAAGTAGCTTTAAGATTGTTGCAAAAAAGAAAAGTGCTCGTACTCGATAAATGCCTACGTCCCAGGTAATCCTGTGTTCGTATAAACAGATAGAAAAAGGTTACTGCTAGTTTCTTTTTTTTTTTTTTTTCTTGTAAATATTTCTCCTCGACAAGTGTACGACA